TTAATTATAACCTAGAGGCTTTCCAGAGGATATCCAATGATCTGAAATTAATTTCATTATTGAGATTTTAACTCCTTTAGTTTAGTTTAAATATGGGTCAGTCCCTGTTTTAAACGTAGTGTATTTTATCAAATGATGATCCTTTTGTTTGATGGTTCTTCTACCAACTGATTCAATTTTTATATCGCTTTTACAATATTTGTGTGCGTGATTAAACAACAGACCTCGAAAATTGAAGAATAGACCATGTTTTGACACATGTAGAAAACTAGGTGTTAAATTTATGCACGCGTATTGTCGTCAGTATAACTTCACGTGTTTAACGTTTGTAACTTTGTAATTCTGAGTCTGACAACTGAAAAGAGTATTCTAATGCTTTAAATTTAATGAGAGAATTGTCTTCACATTCGTAGTTAGATGTTTAAAATGTAAACGTTGTAATTATTAATGTTACAAAGAATAAAAAGAGTGCTGCATTAATACTTTATACAATATTTGAGTTTTTCAGTAATAGGAATATCGATTTGTAGGTGAGTTTTGAAATCGGTATCCGACAACAGATCTTGCCCTGATGTCGAATCCCTGGCACTTGTAAAAAAGCGTTAGCGACAAACATGGTTTTATGTTGCAGGAATTGAAAGAATTATAAAAATATTTTCCGGTATCCGACAGAAGGGGCTGAGGAGGAGAGACTTCATTGATCTAATGAATTGTGGAAGTTGTACGTTTCAATAGTGTTCTTGGGAATATTTGTATTTCTGAGTTATTGAATAATTCGTATAATAGTTTTTGATGTCCTCTGCAACTTCTGTGTTTGTAATGTTGAAAATGATGAAGCGTGCGTTCTTTGCTTGGTTTAAGAATTTGTAACTTCACCGTAATTTTATTTTCATTTCTTCTAACGACGTTTCCAGGAATATAAGTTCCGTTTTGTTTCTACGACAAATCAATAGTTCTTTAAAACGAGTTCAGCGAATGCATTTGATACATAATCAAAATTTAGATAGAACTATGTATTTGTTAAATTTTGCTTCAGTTGAGAAGAAGCTCTTTCCTGATCGTCTGGTTTCAATAGAGTTGCATTTGTTTGCTTGATATATTCTAAATGATTTTGGGGAAAGCTAAATCTGGTGACTTGCCCCATTTTTTCTTGAGAATTTCAATAAATACGGATTCTTCTTCCTCTTCATGTATACCCTGCGATAAAAATATAGGACCAGATGCTTTGAAGAAGTGGGAATAGATGCTTTTGAATTAAGACTTGTATTCTTAGCTGTTAAATCTAATTGTCGATCTTTCAAGAAGACTGTTTCTAACTGCAGCTCATTTGCTAATTTCCTTATAGCGCTAATGCCGTTTTTGAAGTGATTAATCTCCTTATTATTTGTACTATTAAAATATGTGAGCGTCTGTTTGTTTGTTTGTTTGCTTGCTTCTTTGTTTGTAACATCATCCCCTCCGGAACAGCGGGAGTTGATTTCAAGAGAGGTACACTCGTATTCCGAAAATTCGTGGGAAAAAATTTCGAACATTTTCAACTTCGTAATAAGAGTCAGCCCAGATATCAGTTAAAAACTCGGAAAACGATAATATTTGTACTCAATTTTCCGAGCGGAAACAGTCGCGCGCACTGGAGATTAAAACTTCTTTATTTCGAAGTGTCGCCACTGCTCGCTTTCAAGTACAGTTTGTTAATCAAAATTTTCTCAGTTTTACAAAGTATAAAGTAACATTAGCTTTGCCGAATATTAAATACATTATTATTACGTACGGACATAGTCTGACGTTCAAGAAAGCACGCGATTGCGTGTGACGTCATTGTATGTTGAAAAATGTTTCGTTAATGTCAGCATTTTAAATAGATATCGGCTGTGGCAACTTTTTTTTTTTCAGGTAAGAAAATTCGACCCGATATGTTATTGTCATGTTATTTCTTTTTATTGATATTGACAAAAAATTGTTAAATTACATTTAATTTAAATCATGTCATCATACGTATTAACCTGAAGTTTCAAAAGATTTTGTTTCCTGGTTTGGTAACAAAAAAGGTATTTACAAATTGCTTATTGCTTGAAAATGGTGACTGGATTTTACTCAGACTGAAAGGTTTTTATGAATTTTCTTTTCAGGTTACGTAGAACTTATAAATTTTGTTTTGGCCGCAGTTTGCTAGTTAAGCTTATTTCAGGCGAAACGTTTTACTAAGATGAAAAGAAGTTTATCGATGGTTGCGTTAAATAATGTTGCTATAGTTTGCACTGGTGTAACATCGTGAATCTCTTTAGTATAATCCTGGAAGCTGCGGAAGGCAGAGAAAATACTGATTTTTCTGAAGACACTAAAGACCGAGATGTAGACATCCTTGTGTCCAGAAAAACATTACCCAACTCTGATAATAATTAAAGCCAAAATAAATTCTAAGCTAGTAAACTGCCCTAGTAATAAAAATCAGGCACCAGAAAAAAGTTCGTTAAGTCCTATAATCAGCATTAATTATAACATAAGAGGAGCAATTTAATAATAATTAACATAATCCAGCAGTTCAAAAATAATAAAAAAAAAAAAAACTGAAAGCTTCCAGATTTTACATTCTTACGCTCAAAGGGGCTTTTTTTTAACCTTTTATGTGTTCCCTTTACTTATTAAATGTCCTTTGCACTTAAACCATAAAATTCAATTCAACAGCAATATCGCAACATAATTTTTAAATGAGCATATCTTTAGAATTTCTGATACACACTCTCGTGCGCTGGAGATAACATTTTTTTTCGCTTTGAAAACTATTTATTAATCCAAAATTCGCTGAAGTATTACAAAATATGAAATCGTTAATAAAACAAATTTCAAATTATAATATATAGGGGTTCCAGATGCCGATATTCGGGGAAGATTACGTTAGAAATTTGATGGCTCTAGGTACCGTTGTTTTATCACTATGCGAGAAATATACATACAGTTATGCAGATTCTTCATTATTTAATTTTTTTAAATATAACACAGAGCGATAGTATTTGGTGGCAACAATTTGAAAAGCGAACCAAAGTCTAAAATTTTCTACGCCAAAATGCCAAAATAAAGTAATAGCTCTCCTGGGCTAATGCCCTTTGGGTTAATAAGCCAAAAGTACAAATAATAATATTATTCAACACTTTAAATGAACCTATAATTCACTTTCAGAAAGTTTCAGAAGTTCGTTTTCAGAAAAATTTCGATAGTCTGCGTACAAAACCGGATGGGAAAAGAATGGAAATTTCGTTGCATAGAATTTCATAACGTGCGCGATTAACTAAAATGGCCTTATTCGGCCCACAGGTCAGCTTTTGCCTACACTGACTTAGATATCAGTTAAGTCAGCAAAATACTCTTTGATCCTGAGCAGCAATTTAAGTAGTAAGTTTCAGTAAGAAAGAAATTTGCACTAAATAATTAACTAGTAATAGAAGTGGCTTATTTAAAAGATCCCACTCTGTGGATCACTTGTTTGTTAAGACTATATTACGAGCTTCTGACAGCTAATATTTCATTGTTGGCCGATTAATTTTTTCGGGCTGGTGGCTAGGATATGTGGCCATCTGGTTTAGAAATTCTGATTTTAAAAGTTAAGTATATGCTTCTTCCGCCTCTATTAAAAGATAACTAAGATAAATAAATTGAAGAATAAATTGTAGCAACGCCAAGAAATTAAGAAAACAGGCTTAGCACATGAAGCTCCTCATTTCGCAAAAATTGTTTTGTTCTTCCGGTCCGTACCTAAAGCTTATTCTTGTTGTTTAAATATTTTGCTAATGTAAATGTAAAGCAATGTTAGTGCGTTCCTATGTTATCATAAAGAGCATGTCTGATGTAAATCACATTTTTTTAAAAGTGTATTAATGGACGGAAGTTAGAATTACGTGTATTCGAAAGTTGGCTATTGTATTTGCGTATATATTGATAAATAGTTCCTAAAATATAAAATAATGAAATTCATGTATTTACCAGATTAATTTGAAGTCTTAATTTGATTCTACTTGATTTATGCAAATCGCATTATATATATTTAAGTATAACCAGTTTGTTGTGTTCGTCCCTTTTATTCTACTAAACTAAGTGCTGAGGAACCTAATGAACTACTAAGCAAATAGTCGCTTAAGTCCAAGATCAGAAACGTAAACTCAAGAAGGGTTAAATACCTTTTATTTGTTCCAAATAAAGATGCACAGAAGGCTCCTTTCTCAGGACGTACAACAAAGCCTCCACTTGGGCTTAATTTAAATTGTTAGAAATAGGAACTAATTAATGACGAACTAAATAGATTTGACCGAAGCTAACACAAATTCTAATCTACTTGTCCCGTAATATTAAACTAGCCAGCAATGCTTTCTATTTCTCATTTGCATTTAATGCGATTCTAAAAACTCATTCTGGTAAGGAATTGTATGCTGAAGATAGAGGAGATAGGAAAGGATCATGAACTTAACTGTTATAAAATTAGGATATTCCTTACAAGTCAATAAATTAATTTAATCAATTATTAATTCGTCCTAGAGCTAGATAAAAGCTGAACACTGTTAATACTGATATTGACAAAATCAATGACTCAGTTTCACTTATTACATTGCGAATACTGTTGATATTTATACATGGTATAAATTTACAAACAAATATATTTTCAGTTTCGAGGAAAACGTAGAGAATATTCAACTCAAATAATTCTTAGGATTATTATTAAATATATTCAATAGAATTTCGGAAAAACTAATATTAAACGGAGGAAATTTCTCTGGGCTCAGAAAGTACTTAAATAATTGTTAGAATGAATCTTTCCAAATATTTACTTGGATATGTTGCGGTCTCACAATACAGGTAACTAATTTCACAATTTTCGATAACATTCTGTTCAGGGAAAATATCTTTTTCTCTTTTCCTTATGTATTGTCTTTTTGTGATTTGCGACTGTGCTTTTCATTGAAATAAATTGATAAGTCGCTATTTCCTTTATAAAGTTTTCATATGATTTTCTGAGTGAAATCTATAAAGTCATTCCTAGCGATAAGAAATGCGATGCTAAATTTTGCCTACATGTTTTACTCTTAAAGTAATTCATTTTGTTTAATTTTATCTATTCGTGTAATCAGTAGACTCACCAAGACCTTAAAGGTAGGTTCTTGTTTATATAGGCATGTATATCACTTTTCAATCCATTTGATACTTTATTGCTTTCGTTACTGTATTTTTTAAAATACTTTGAAATATTTTATATTCTTATTTTACTGAAAATCTATTATTATTTATCGATGGTATGTTAAACATTCTAAACTTATTATTGCCAGGACTTAATTTCTAAAATTAGAAAGGGTGGAACTCTGTAGAATGCCGCTAAAAACGGGAACGAAAATAAATATTTTAAGTAATAGATAAAGCAATAAATAATGAATAATTAAATAAAATATAAAAAGATAAAATAGCTCCTAAATAATTAAACAAATGAAAGATAATTATTAAGTTCATAATAACAAGACATGAAAGAGAGAATAAAATTTAGTTTTCTTTCTTTCTTATTTTTCCTAAATGGCTGGACATTTATTTCTCTCTAATTTCTCTTGAATATCGGAGCAGATCACTCTGCGCAACGTTTTCAACAATAAGTTGTAAGTGCACCTTTTTGGCTTCTAATATATTTAAAGACCAAATGAGTATAGTCCATAAAAATACTTCTTCCTCATAGGTTCCTGATTTTGACAAGAGAAAATTTTCTTCTCATCAGCTGACATTTTCCCACATAATTTGCTCTTTCAGAGAAACTTAGTCTTTCGTTTGAATGTCTGGCAACAATATCAGTTTTATTAACTGCTAAATAACATGGCATCAATATTTTTGGTTAACAGTATTTTCTTCTAATATGCAAATATGTTGTACAACAGAGTTTGTCTTATCTAAAGCTCCAGTGCTCTCTGTCTAGATCTATCTAGTTCAGATATGGGCAAAAGTTTTTGGTGGCGGTCCAAAAATCGAAAAAAAAAAAAAAAAAAAAAAAAAAAAAAAAAAAAAAAAAAGCTTAGCGGGCCAAGAAAATTTTTTCTAAAATTTTAAAGCAATATACAAATATTACAATTTACGTATATTAATGACATAAACGAAATTGAAATTTTATTTTTAAAAGTTCTTTATCCTGAGGTTCGAAGTGAGATGTACTATGGAACGAGGCTAAATGCCCATCTATCAGTCTACGTCTGAAATAATTCTTTCTAAGGTTGAAAACACTTTAACACTGGTTTTCTGAGAGTGAGATATTAAATTTGGAAAACTTACTTCCGATAATGATTTGTAAAACCCTAACTTTGGCATATTTAAAAACAACTGCTTCAGATGATTGTTAGATTGCAACTCAATTATTTCAAGCTGCAAATCTGACCTTACTGATTCACAATTTACGTTGAAAAGCATGGTGAAAATATCCACTTCTGTTTGAATGGCACTGAAATCTTGAAATCTCCATTCGATCTCAAAATGCAGTTTTTTTCAAGCCATCTTCATAATTAAACTTCTTTTCCTTTATTTTCCTTTTCCTTTATTAAGCTTCTGGATTTAACATAGGGAAATGAGATAAATCGTTCTTAGCTCAGCAAACAGATTACGTTTTAGTTTAAAAGCTCAGATATCGTCGATAAATTGATTTTTCCCTTGCATCTTGACATTCAAGTTGCTCATGTGACAAAGAAGATCTGTGAAAAATTCAAAGTCCGAAAGCCATTCTGTGTCTTCTAACATTTCGCACTCCGCAGAACACCGTTTCTCATGGAAGAACGACACAGTGTCGTCTTTAAGCTGTCAAACTGGCTTAAATACACATCATGCGCTAAGCCACCTTACTTTCGTGTAATACAGTACATCAGAGTATTCAGTTTGCACGGACTAAAGAAAATCTCGAAACTGCCTGTGAGTAAGCCCACGAGATCGAATAGTATTTACAAGCTTCACGACTGCATCAAGCATGAGTTTCATATTCAATGCAGATATACACAGAGCAGCTTGATGTAAAACACAATGTAGAAAAACAACATTGTTCCCAGAATAGTTTTCATTAAAGCTTCCAAAAATTCCAGATTTTTTCCTGTCATATTTGGTGCTCCATCAGTCGTAATATTGCATATATTTGTTATAGACACTTTCAAAGAACTTTCTGAAATTCACGAAAAACATCACATCCCGTTCTAATTCCTTTTAAAGAACGCATGCACGCCACTTCCTCGGTAATTTTAAAGGTCTCACCAACACCTCTTATAAATAATAATAATTGAGCAGCATCATTTATATCAGTCCTTTTATCCATAGCTATGGAGCAAAATTTAAACTGGCCAATCTTTGACTCTAATTGTGATGCCATATTTTTATCGATATCTTCGATTCTAGAAGTCGCCGTTTTTCGAGATAAGCTTATAGTCTCAAAATTATTTTTCTTGTCTGAACATAAAACATCTCAAACTTGAAGCATGTATTGTTTAACGAACTTCCCATCACTGAGAGCTTTATTATTGCAATATTGTATGCTACAATGTAACTTGCATGTGTAGCTGCTTCTAGGATACTGTTTACCTTACTGTTTACCTTCTTTAAAAATTTTTGTCGATCTAGTAATTTTTTACAAAGACTTTCTGCATTTTGTTTTCTTTCATATTCGACACTGCATCGTAATGGGAATTCTTATGATTAGATGTGTAATGACGGGAAATTTTACATTCTTTGAGGACTGTTACAGTTTCATTGAAGATGAGACACACTGGTTTATGTTTTACAACTGTAAGAAATATTTCCAGGTTCATTTATTCAATAAAAAGCACGGCACTCTGAATCAACTTTACGTTTTTTAGTAATCATTTTTGGGTTGAAATATTTTACGAATAACCCAAACAAGCACTAGCTATGCTATACTTTTAATAGTTTCACATATATACTTTTTATAATATTCACAATGATGCTATATGTCCGCAATTTTTCCATATGCAATCAATAATATTAAAACTTGTGCCAAAAGAAAAAGCCGCTTGCTTAAGTTTAAATTGCGCAGTCTGCCATATGGTAGGGTCTAATTCACCTTTATTGGATTCCCATATGTCTGCTCTCCGAGAAAGAGATAATGCTTGTTGGTACCATCTACAGCTAAAACTAACAAAGAACTTCCGCTTTTAACACTTTACAGATTGAAAGCTGTCTGTGCTTGCTATTCCCAGCGATTTATGTTTTGTAAAGCAAAAATAGGGAAAGTAAAAGATAATCAGTCCTTTGAAAAAAAGGTAGAAAAAATAATATTTAAGCAAAGTAGAAAAGGAGATGGATATATAATATATAAATATATATTTCTTTTAAGTTGCCTCGACCGGCAAATTAAAATTCTATCCGCTGGCCGGATAAAATCTTCTGCCGGGCCCGATTTGTCCCGCGGGCCGTAGTTTGCCCATCCTGGTCTAGTGTTCGAAGTACTGAAACCGGGCATCGGCTAAACGCAAGGGAAATTTTTCATGTCTCAAAAGAAATACAAATAACACGCTGAAATTGTTAAATTCGTAACTTTTCACTCACCATGAAAAAAGAAACTTTTATTAACATCATAAAATGTTAGCTATCTAGTTTTCTTTCACTATGCAGTGTGGATGCATCTTATGTATTTTCATTAGCAGTTCATGCACATGGCGATACACTGAATTATTTTAAAGTAGTTTTTATTTTTCACAGGACGGTCAAAATCTAAATATGAGTTGAGTTAAGGCCTTAAAGTCACATTGTTTCATTTTCAGTCATGCTTCAAATTTCTAAAAAAGTTACTTCGATTGTAATTATGGATTTAATTCATGGGAACTTGCGAATGCACCCAGAAATAAGAACATGGCAACTTTAAAAATGTAGAATACAATGTAAACTCCGAAGAAAAAAAAAAACTCGCATTCGCGAAGTAATAATGCCTAAATCATATTGGACTGGTCAAAAATTCGATGTTAATTAATGGATACTCACTTCTACTAGCTGATGCGATAGAGACCAGATGCAGTCACCTTACTGGAGGAAAGAAGTGAAAACATTTTTCTTTTCTCTTTTAAAATATATTATTAATTTAATGATGCTGGTATTTGAATAGCGTGCAGAGGCAGAAAATCAGAGAAGACACGATAGCGCATTACTCGCGTAGTCTTGTATTTGCAACTGTAAATATAATCGACGATTCTATGCAAAGATGCTCGATTAAAGCAATAAATAAGGTTTTTACGAAACTATTGAGTTAAAAAGTAATAATTCCTTTCTCACAGTTTCAGATTTATAAACATGATCACATATATCGCATGACCTAAGACTATGTCCCTGAATAATGTGTTGTTACCTGAATTCATTATGTTCAGAAACATAAAATTATAACTAATTTAGCTTGATTATTGAAACTTTTTATAGGCGGTTATGTTGTCTAACTATCCCGCATTTTGATCGCAGCAGATAACAGGCATGATTTTCAGTTTGTGTTACTTTCCATTTAAAATATTAATCACATTCTTGTCAGAAATTAGATATTTTATATGGATATATTCTTTACAATAAACTGAAAATAGAATTCATCGCAAGTATTTTTAGTGCATAGAACATGCAAATTACTTGCGTGAAAATGCTTTTGGATGCCAAGTGTAATTCAACTGTAAATTAAAGAATGTAACATAATAGGAAACCACGAAAACATATGAGTGAAGGCCATTAAAAGTGAAATAATCAATCTGGAATTATTCTAAAGTATTTTTTAAACCATCTCTCCAAACAAGTTGAGAAACATTGTAGGGTTTATATTTATTTTAACTAACATTTATTTTAAGTTTAAACTATCTTTCCTGTCAAGCCTTACTTTCCCCTGGAACTGCCAATGCCAGAGTATGTAAATTTTAGTAGAACGCGCAAAGATTCAAATTATCAGCGGAAGTATTCTGATTTAAATAGAAAGGAAACGAGTTCGAGGTGTGATATTCTTACCTCACGAGCGCGGAGGTAGTTGGCCAGAAATTGAAGAACCCCGCGTTTCGGCCTGTGTGCTTGCCTGGAAGTATTGTTAATCGTTCAACGTGATCTTCAAGTTTGCTGAATTAGCAGCGGTATTGTAAAACGCGGTGAGGTTAGTTACTTCTAGA